GGCTTCCCTTTGTGGATAACCTGACCTTTCGCTCTGGCTGCCCTTAACATTTTTTCCTTCATTTCCACTTTGGTGAATCTGATGTGTCTTGGAGTTGCTCTTCTCGAGGAGTATCTTTGTGGCGTTCTCTGTATTTCTTGAATTTGAATGTTGGCCTGCCTTACTAGGTTGGGGAAGTTCTCCTGGATAACATCCTGCAAAGTGTTTTCCAACTTGGTTTCATTCTCCCCATCACTTTCAGGTACACCAATCAGACGTAGATTTGTTCTTTTCACATAGTCCCATATTTCTTGGAGGCTTTGTTCATTTCTTTTTACTCTTTTTTTCTCGAAACTTCTCTTCTCACTTCATTTCATTCATTTGATCTTCAGTCACTGATTCCCTTTCTTCCAGTTGATCAGATCGGCTACTGAAGCTTGTGCATTCATCATGTAGTTCTCGTGCCGTGGTTCTCAGCTCCATCAGGTCATTTAAGGACATCTCTACACTGGTTATTCTATTTAGCCATTCGTCTAATCTTTTTTCAAGGTTTTTAGCTTCTTTGCAATGGGTTCGAACTTCCTCCTTTAGCTCGGAGAAGTTTGATCGTCTGAAGCCTTCTTCTCTCAACTTGTCAAAGTCATTCTCCGTCCAGCTTTGTTCCATTGCTGGCGAGGAGTGCTTTCCTTTGGAGGGGGAGAGGTGCTCTAATTTTTAGAATTTTCAGCTTTTCTGCTCTGTCTTTTCCCCATCTTTGTGGTTTTATCTACCTTTGGTCTTTGATGATGGTGACGTACAGATGGGGTTTTGGTGTGGATGTCCTTTCTGTTTGTTAGCTTTCCTTCAAACATTCAGGACCCTCAGCTGCAGGTCTGTTGGAGTTTGCTAGAGGTCTACTCCAGACCCTGTTTGGCTGGGTATCAGCAGCAGAGGCTGCAGAACAGTGAATATTGCTGAACAGCAAATATTCCTGCCTGATTGTTTCTCTGGAAGCTTCGTCTCAGAGGGGTACCGAGCCCTGTGAGGTGTCAGTCTGCCCCTACTCGGAGGTGCCTCCCAGTTAGGCTACTCGGGGGTCAGGGACCCACTTGGGGAGGCAGTCTGTCTGTTCTCAGATCTCAGACTCCATGCTGGGAGAACCACTGCTTTCTTCAAAGCCATCAGACAGGGACATTTATGTCTGCAGAGGTTTCTGCTGCCTTTTGTTTGGCTATGCTCTGCTCCCAGAGGAGGAGTCTACAGAGGCAGGCAGGCCTCCTTGAGCTGTGGTGGGCTCCACCCAGTTCGAGCTTCTCAGTTGCTTTTTTTGCCTACTCAAGCCTCAGCAATAGTGGGCACCCCTCCCTCAGCCTCCCTGCCGCCTTGCAGTTTGATCTCAGACTGCTGTGCTAGCAATGAGTGAGGCTCTGTGGGCGTGGGACCCTCTGAGCCAGGCATGGGATATAATCTCCTGGTGTGCTGTTTGCTAAGACCATTGGAAAAGCGCAGTATTAGGGTGGGAGTGACCCAATTTTCCAGGTGCCGTCTGTCACAGCTTCCCTTGGCTAGGAAAGGGAATTCCCTGACCCCTTGCATTTCCCGGGTGAGGTGATGCCCGCCCTGCTTCGGCTCTCGCTTGGTGGGCTGCACCCACTGTCCTGCACCCACTGTCTGACACGCCCCAGTGAGATGAACCTGGTACCTCAGTTGGAAATGCAGAAATCACCCGTCTTCTGCATCGCTCACGCTCAGAGCTATAGACTGGAGCTGTTACTATTCGGCTATCTTGGAACCGTCCTCCTGGAATTTTTCTTAAAGGAACTTTGGGATTTTCCTTTATTTCCATGTTTGGGGGTTTGCAGGTCCCTAAAAGGAGAGGTGGGGTCCCAGCTATATTTCGCGGTGTCTCATGAGCCTATTGCACAGGAAATTACAAAAGTCTTAGGAGCCCTATGTCAGTGTAAGGGTAAACTGAGGCTGGAGCTGAACCGGGAACGAAGACACAAGGCAAATGGCAGTGAGAATAGCCTTTTATTAGGGCTTGCGGGCGAGGTTCCTCGGTCCAAAGGCGTGGGCCGAGGAAGTCGTGCTGAGGGAGGAGGGTAGGGGCTTCTTATAGCCTGAGAGGTAGGGAAGCTGGTTGTGCAAACAGAGCCTGGGGGGTCTTGAAACTACTAGGGCAGGAGTTGAGTAAGGGTCATGAGGAAGGGGTCTTTGGAAACTGTCAACCGAAACTGCTGTTTACGAACTTGTGGAATGCAAGTGAGCTGCAGGTCATGGGGGAGTGTGACTGCCCAGCTGGAACCTCTGATGTAGGTAAGTCTGAGGGTGTGTTCAAAGAGGGAGGGAAGTCTCGAAACAAAGGGCCTGCTCGAACAAAGGGCCTGCTACGCCGAGTGGCGCCGCCATGTCGGGTCTGGGTCCCTGCCTAACAGTCAGGAACTGGGGGCAGAGAACAAATATATATTTCTTATGTAAACCAAAAAGTATGTGAGACAGATCTCAATCAATTTAGTGGTTTATTTTGCCAAACTTAAGGACCATGGTCTGTGACACAGCCTCAGGGAGTCTTGAGAACATGTGCCCAAGGTTACAACTTGGTTTTATACATTGTAGGGAGACAGAAGTTACAGGCAAAGACATGAATCAGTATATATAATGTTCAGCCTGGAAAGTGGGACATCTCTAGGTGGGCGTGAGAGAGATTTTAGGTCATAGGTGGATTCAAAGATTTCCTGATTGGCAATTTGTTGAAAGAGGTAAGCCCTGACTAAAGAGTTGAATTCAACATAAAGAAATGCTTGAGTTTAGTTAGATAAGGGGGTTGTGGAAGCCAAGGTTCTTGTCATGTAGATGAAACCTCTAGGTAACAGGCCTCAGAGGGAATAAGTGGTAAATGTCTCTTATCAGACCTTAAAAGGTGTCATGCTCTCTGGAGAAGACCTAGTATGGGAAGGAGATTCCCTATAGAACGCAAATTTAGTTTACAGGAGGCAGCTTTACAGGGCCATTTCAGAATATGGAATGTCAAACAAAAAAATTTTAGGGGAAAATACTTTGATTTTCTTCAGGGCCTGCAATAAAATACCAAACTCTAACGTAACTCTTCATATAGCATCACATGATGTTGTTTGGAATTTGGTATTTTATTGCTATGAAGAGTCTGTTTTGTCAGTCTTATGATCTCTGTTTTAATGTTAACATCAGTCAGTTGTGTCTAAACTCCGAAGTGTAGAGTGCAGAAAAGCCCAGCATGTCCAATCCATAATGAGGCTTGTCTGACCCCTCCCTTTCAGTCATGGCCTAAACTAGTTTTTCAGTTTTCTTTGGGGTCTACTTGGCTAAGAGGTGGGTCCATTTAATCGGTTGGGGGGCTTAGAATTTTATTTTTGGTACCCTTGTTATATCAGAGATCCTTTCAGTCTTTTATGACCATTTGACTTGGTGGGTGGATATAACCCAAGGGGATGGGAATAGGAAGCTTTCTTGGCTTATAGGCTACCTTTACGTGTAAATGTGTAAATGAAGGAGTCCTCCTTGGGATCTGTGTTAACTTATTGGGGACATAATTTGGAATTTGAAATTAGAGTTTTTTAAAAAACAGAATGTGAATAGGTACTCCTGTTCACATTTTTTCCTGTACACTTTGCAAAAAGGGATAGCATGGCAAGACAGATGGGTTCCTGCCATCTCTCAATCTTTTTGCCTTCGGTATGATGGCAGAGCAAGCGAGTATATGGACAGGGCCACTGGATCTGGAAGACAAAGCCCTGTGTGGAGAAAGCAATGCCCCTGTGGTGAGGCAGGCTTCTTGTTTCTTCTGCAAGCAGAACTGCAGTCCCAGAGAGTGACAGCCTATCTTTAGCAAGTAGGATCTGGAGTTACTGTGGTATTTGGAGAGCCAGCCAGTCTGCCACAGTTGCCTCAGGCTGCATGAATAATTTCTCTACAAAAAATGGCAACACTTTTCCATCATAACTGCAGTTTTTGGTGTCTGATGCTGGAATTCATTTCTAAAGTCAGAGTAATATCACATTAAAATGAGCAAATCTCCAGACACTGATTTTTAGCTGCTGGATTTTTTGATTGTATAGTGTTTACTTCTTTTCGCTTCAGGGGAAAGAAAGTGGACACATCTCTAAGCCTTAAATAACAGTCATGAATATTTCACCGTGTGACCACAGTGGTATAATGGAGGGCATCCAAGGAACAGAGGGAAGGAAGGAGAGTGTTACTGTACAGGGAATATGTTGTCATTTGAAATTAAGGTTGGGATATCTCAGTGAAATCTTTGAAACCTAGAAACTAAAATGAAAGTAAAGACCTGTACTCAAAACACTGGCTTAAGGAATTGGGTTGCTTGGAGGCAGAGAGAGAATTAGCCAATGAGTAAATACTATGGCATTTGAATTATGAAGAGAAAAAGTACAAATTGAGTTTTATAAAGAGATCACTAGAAACTTGAAGAGAGAAGAGGATCAACTTTAAAAGCAAACTGTAGGGGAATTGGAAAAGGAAATTTTAAAATTTAAAATATTTAAACAGGCCTTTACAAAGATAAAAGGCTTTTGGGAAGACTTAGGGCCTAGGGCTTCTCCTCATATGAAGCCTCTCATATCTCTAGGACACCAACATAGGGCAGAGTCTTACTATGAGACTTTTTCTCCTGAACACCCCTTCACAGTCCCTGGTAAGCTAGATTGGGACATACGAGAACTCCTTTCTCTTAGGCCAATTGCCTCCTTTGTCCATTTCCTCCTCGCTGTTTCATTTGTAGTAAAAAACAGTCCTAAATTGAATGCTTTAAAATTATAACTAAAAAGTCTTTAAATACAAATCTTAAGATTGTGCTGATAGAAATTTGCTAAGCAAATCAATTCTGTGAGTACAAAAACAATTGCGTCAAGTTTCTGTATTTAACATTAGCTGTGGCCAATATTGTGTTGCATAGAAAAATGTCAATCCAAATGAAAGAATTAACTTCAAGTTAGAAAATAATATGGATTCACAATTCTTCTCCCTTCTTATTCAAAACCATGCAGGTAATATATGCTTTAAACACTAAAAATGATGAGCATGAATCTGCAATTCAAGCCCTCAAAGATGCTCATGAAGAAGAAATTCAACAAATTCTTGCAGAAACAAGAGAAAAAATATTGCAGTATAAAAGCAAAGTAACAGAGGAACTAGACCTTAGAAGAAAGATTCAAGTTTTAGAAGCATCATTAGAAGATCACATAAAAATGAAGCAGCAGGCTTTGACAGAATTTGAAGCTTATAAGCACAGAGTTGAGGACATGCAACTTTGTGCAGAAGCCCAGCATGTCCAACGCATAGTGACCATGTCTAGAGAAGTCGAAGAGATTAGAAGGAAATTTGAAGAAAAATTACGGAGCTTTGGACAGCTTCAGGTACAGTTTGAAAAAGACAAACGATTGGCATTGGAAGACCTGCGGACTGCTCACAGACGGGAGATACAAGAGCTATTGAAGTCACAGCAGGATCACAGTGCCTCAGTAAATAAAGGGCAGGAGAAGGCAGAGGAACTACACAGAATGGAGGTGGAGTCCTTAAACAAAACGCTTGAGGAGCTAAGACTTGAACAGAAGAAACTAATTGAGGATTATGAAGGCAAGTTGAATAAAGCTCAGTCCTTTTACGAGCGTGAGCTTGACACTTTGAAAAGGTCACAGCTTTTTACAGCAGAAAGCCTCCAGGCCAGCAAAGAAAAGGAAGCTGATCTTAGAAAAGAATTTCAGGGACAAGAAGCAATTTTACGAAAAACCATAGGAAAATTAAAGACAGAGTTACAGATGGTACAGGATGAAGCTGGAAGTCTTCTTGACAAATGCCAAAAGCTTCAGACGGCACTTGCCACAGCAGAGAACAATGTTCAGGTAAGTAAAGAATATTATATTCAACACATGGATTTTTTTTCTTTTAAATATATGTATGTTGTAGGCTAGAGAGCAGTCTGGCCCACTTAGAATCAGTGGCTTCACACCACTTAGACTTTTTTTTTTTTTTAAACTTTCCTGCTTTTTCTCTGAGAAAAATCAATGACAGGATAATTTATATTACCCTGTAGTTGTTATTTCAGAATTTCAGATATTAGGGGCCCAAAAAGACAAGCTTAAAACCTTGTTAATAATTGACTGGGCACAGTGGTACACACCTGTAATCCTAGCACTTTGGGGGGTCCAGGCAGGAGGATCGCGTCAGGCCATGTGTTAAAAACCAGCCTGGGTGAGTGAGCTTAGCGAGATAATACAGTTTCTGGGGGAAAATATTGCTAATTATTTACAAAAGGATTTTAGTATTGGGCTTAAAGTTTAAATACATTTTTTTCTTTTCCTTTCTCTAATAATGGTTTGTCTGCTAGCTGATATTTAGACACTGATCGAGAAATTTTTCAAACTGTACTTGAAGCTGTCCAAAGTTCCACAGTTTTTCTTCAAATTCCCTTCTAATCTCTTCGACTTCTGTAGACATGGTCACTATGTGTTGGACATGCTGGGCTTCTGCACAAAGTTGCATGTCCTCAACTCAATTAGAAAGTAATTCAGGTTACTTTCTAAACCTGAATTTAATAGGGGTATTGCACAAGTCTGGGGGCAAAAATGCTGGAAGTCCACAAGTTTTGTTTTGTTGGCTTAGAAAATTTCGTAGCCATGTTTTTAATATCTGTGCAACATTAGAATGGATTAGAAAGTGTAGAATAGCCTTTTCTGATTGGGTCATGTGGCTTATGAAAATATCAAGTTATAAGTCACCAATACTTACAGATTTTAAAATTGGTATATACTTTAGTATGACTTCTAATAGGAGAAAACTGACCCTTATAATTTAAATGAATTAGTATTTTTCCTGCATTTTAATAATGGCTATTTAATCTTTCTTAGGGTCTTCAAAAACAGCTTGATGATGCCAAGGAGGGAGAAATGGCCCTATTAAGCAAGCACAAAGAAGTGGAAAGTGAGCTAGCAGCTGCCAGAGAACGTTTACAACAGCAAGCTTCCGATCTTGTCCTCAAAGCTAGTATGTCTGACCACAGTTTTTGATATAATGCTTAGCTAAAACCAACACAACACTTTTTTTTTTTTTTTTTTTTTTTTTGAGACAGAGTCTTGCTCTGTCGCCTGGACTGGAGTGCAGTGGCGCAATCTCGGCTCACTGCAACCTCTGTCTCCTGGGTTCAAGCAGGTCTCCTGCCTCAGCCTTGAGTAGCTGGGACTACAGGCACACGCTGCCATGCCTGGCTAATTTTTTTGTATTTTTAGTAGAGATGGAGTTTCGCTGTGTTGCCCAGTCTGGTCTCGAACTCCTGAGCTCAGGCAGTACCCCCGCCTCGGCCTCCCAGAGTGCTGGGATTACAGGCATGAGCCACCATGTCCGGCCCCAATACTTAAATGTTAATTTAAGGTAGCATTTTTTTTCTTCTAATATTTTAAAACTACTTAAACTGTAAATATGTTAAAGGACTCAATATCCTACTAATTACTTATAAGATACACAAATAACTTTTTTTATTTTTAGGAATATATTTTTATAGAAAACTTGAGAGTTAGCAGGTAAAATACCAATAAATTAGTCACTGAAAGAAAAACAGGCTGGGCGTGGTGGCTTACACCTGTAATCCCAGTGCTTTGGGAGGCCAAGGTGGGCAGATCACTTGCGGCCAGAAGTTGGACACCAGCCTGGCCAACATGGCAAAACCCCATCTCTACTAAAAATAACAAAAATTAGCTGGGCATAGTGGTGCATGCTTGTAATTCCAGCTACTTAGGAGGCTGAGGCATGAGAATAACTTGAACATGGTGGCAGAGGTTGCAGTGAGCTGAGATTGTGCCAGTATACTTCAGCCTGAGCAACAGAGCAAGACTATATCAAAAAAAAAAAAAGAAAGAAAGAAAAGAAAGAAAGAAAAATGAAGCACACTTTTCAAGAGGTGTTGTCCTTTAAACACATACATTTTATTGTCTGGGCACGGTAGCTCACACCTGTAATCCCAGCAGTTTGGGAGGCCGAGGCTGGCGGATCACAAGATCAGGAGATCGAGACCATCCTGGCTAACATGGTGAAACCGCGTCTCTACTAAAAATACAAAAAAATTAGCCGGGCGTTGTGGTGGGCACCTGTAGTCCCAGCTACTTGGGAGGCTGAGGCAGGAGAATAGCGTGAACCTGGGAGGCAGCAGAGCTTGCAGTGAGCGGAGATCACACCACCGCACTCCAGCCTGGGTGACAGAGCGAGACTCCGTTCCAAAAAAAATATATACACACACACACACACACACACACACACACGTATATATTTATTTATTTATTTATTTTTTTGAGACAAAGTCTTGTTCTGTCACCTAGGCTGGAGTGCAGTGGCATGAAAACAACCCACTGTAGCCTGGACCTCCTGGGCTCAAGTGATCCTCCCACTTGAGCTTCCTGAGTAGCTGGGACCACAGACATGCGCAACCTTGGCTGGCTAATTTTTTAATTTTTTGTAAAGACGGGGTCTTGCCATGTTGCCTAGAGTGGTCTCAAACTCCTGGGCTCTAGCAGTCCTCCCACCTTGGCCTCCCAAAGTGCTGAGATTTCAGGTGTGAGCCACCATGCCAGCATTTGTTCAGTTTTTAGAGATGGGATCTTGCTCTGTTGCTCAGGCTAGAGTGCAGTAGCATGATCATAGCTCACTGCAGCCTCAAACTCCTTGGCTTAAGTAGTCCTCTCGCCTTAGCCTCCCCAGTAGCTGGGACTCTAGGTATGCCACGGGCTAACTTTTTTAAAGATGAGGCCTCACTGAAAAAATATACATTTTAAAGTATTTAAATTAATTGAACTATATGTAAATTATAGCAGTTCATTTCTTAGGGCTTGTTACTAAGGTTCATTTTTATATACTAAAGCTGACTTGCGTATTTCTTGAGTGGCTGGTATGCTGTTTCACAGCCATTACTGGAGGAGGTGGGTGACTTGTGTCAGTTCTGAAGTTATATTTTGTCTAAGTGTTTAGTGTGCCCAGGAAGGCTGTTTGAGCTGGTTCTTTGAGGATCTCGTTTGATTTTGATTGGCTTATCAGTGAATCTCAGATTTTCCTTCCTCTAAAACGGTTGTTTTTAATAACCTTTAGTGCACATTGGAATGACCTGAAGGGTTTGTGAAACTACAGATGCTGGGCCCCACCCTCAGAGTTTCTGATTCAGTAGGTCTGGGGTGGGTCACATTTTTAACCAGAGTTCTCAGGTGATGCAGGTGACGCTGGTCCCAGGTACTTTGAGGATCTCTGCCTTAAACTATCCTTTCTATGAGACCTTTTTCTTCACTCACTCTTCATCTCTCTGTCTCTCTCCTGATTTTTCTCCACATTCCCTGCTTTTTGCTGTCATTTAAAAGATTCTTTCATAACCTTGCTGTCTTTATCTGTGTCTTATACCACCTTAGTTTTTGGTTGGTTGGTTGTTTTTATTTGGAGACAAGGTCTTGCTATGTTGCAGGCCATAGTGCAGTGACTGTTACAGGTGCAGTCATAGTTCACTGCAACCTTGAACTCCTGGGCTCAAACAATCCTCCCACTTCAGCCTCCCAGGTAGCTGGGATTACAGGCTCCACTTTAGGTCTTTATCTGGCCTCTTGCCTGAAACAAATTCAGTTTCAACCAAACTGCTATCTGCCATCTTTGTTTCCTACATACAGATTTTTTCCTCTTTATGTTAGAATTTAAAAATAAAGAGATTAGAAAAGAACAAATCACTCATTTGACCCCACAGTATCAGTCAGTGCATCCTCTCCCTCCTTCTTTTATTCCCAGGAGACTTTCTTATGAAGCCCCGAGGAGTTGAGCCTATTTCAACCTGTTTAGCTTGCAGTCTTCAAAAAAAAAAGCAGTAAAACAGTGCGAGGTGCAGGAAGCAACATTAATCATGTGAAAATGGCATTTTAATTTATTCTAATATGCTAATAAATATTTTCATATAAGTATTTCCATTTTATGTAGTGAAGAAACAAAAGGAAAATTTGTACATATAGACCATTTATTTTACTTAAAGTACAGTTGTGTTATTAAATATAAACTGTTTATCTCATAGTACAACTGATTTTTAAATTGAAGGGATTTTCTTTTGTGGGGGATAGGTCATATTGGAATGCTTCAAGCAACTCAAATGACCCAAGAAGTTACGATTAAAGATTTAGAATCAGAAAAATCGAGAGCCAATGAGAGATTATCTCAGCTTGAAGAGGAAAGAGCTTTTTTGCAAAGCAAAACCCAAAGTCTGGATGAAGAGCAGAAGCAACAGATTCTAGAACTGGAGAAGGTAAAAAGTAATGGACACTCCATTCCCCCCCAAAAGAGTTCAGTTTTCCTCTTTTTCAGATTTGAAGTATTTGGAGTATTCCTTGCTATTTCCTACTTTAGTGGTTATTTTTGGTTCTAATTTTGAGGAAATGGGTATACAGCTAGACTATCCTATACTGTGTGTATGTTCAAAATATGTGGATAACAATCTATATAATATAAAAACTTAAGACATTTCCACCTATTTCAAGCCAGAAATTGAATAAACTCTTCTTTCAGTGGAGTATATACTTATAGTTAATGATGTTTGTTTTCTATTAATGAAATATATTACTGCATATACACATGGGAAATTTCTGTAGAACTGAAAATATGACAAGCTTCAAGCTCTGAAAATGTATACCAACGTATTGAATTTCTAGTTTAACAAGTGAGACATCATTTATAGAGTAATTGCTGAATATATATTTCCAGTTTTTCAGATGCCCACAATACCAAGTGGGAGTTTTTGGACATCCTCTTCTTTTTCTTTCCCTCAACGTCTAAGTATTTTGAAAATGTCTATTCTCTTTGCTCTTTACTTACTTCCGTTAATTCCTTAACCTGGTGCAGTCCTCTCTGACCATCAGTCCACAGAATTTGCTTTTGCCTCAGCCCTCAGTGACATCCTGATTGGTGGACTTGGTGGATCTTATCTTACCATGGTACCTACTAACCACTGATTTACAATCTCTCATCTCTTATTTCACATTCTTTCACATTTTTCTCCTACCTCCTTGGCCTTACAATCTTCTTTGTGAACTTCCCTCCTCCATCTGTTCCCTTACCATTGATGTTTCCAGTATTTTCATCTCATTCTATGTACTCATTCATTCCAGTGACATCAACTGTCACTTATTCAGGGATAACTTCTAAATCTTTAGGTCCAGACCAGACATTTTCTCTGAATTTAAGTCCTTTTATCCTTTCCACTAGATATCTCCATTTATGTTTTTCACAAACATCAAGTTACCATGCCTAGAACTTTCTCCTTTCAAAAGTACTAAGTTTCTTTTATTCCTTATTTCAACCAGTAGCACCACCGTCTATCTAGTTGCTGAATAAAAAACCTGAAAGTCATTCTTGATTACTGTTTTCTCAACCCCTTTATCTGTTACAGAGTCCTGTTGGTTCTACTCCCTTAATATATTTGTATTCCATCCTCCCCTGCTCATACCCATTTATAGATCTGAAGTTTAGGCACGTGTTAATTGCTTGCCTGGACAACTGTCTAGCAGCAATCTCTGATTTCAGTTGGCTCACCAGCCTGCTTCCAAGATGATTGTTTTAGAAAGTATATCATTTACTTAAACTTCAGTGATTTATCAGTTCCTTCAGAAGAAAATTCAGAGTTCTTAGTGTAAAAGACCCCTTCTCATTATTTTATTCCTGCCTACTTCTGAGCCCCGTCTGTCACCATTTTATCACCTTGTGTCCTGTGTTCTATCCAGACTGCTTAGCTGCACTGACTTTCTGTCTCCCTAAACTTTGCCATCTGGTTAGCTACTTGTCATCTTTCCAGTGCTGCACAACAGTAGAAATGGTTATGAATGTAGGCTTTTGACACCAGACCTAGGCTTGACATTTTCTTATCATTGATCTCCTCTGGGCTTGTTGTAAGAGTTAAATGAGAAATGTCATCACCAGCTAAGACGCTTTCTCTTCTGAAAAGCCTTCCCTGATACCTCTCTGTCTCTGTCTTTGTCTCTCTCTCTCTGACACACACACACACACACACACACGCTTTCCCACCCCATCCAAGTTAGGCACCCTTCTAATATACTCTCATAACACAGGATATACATCTGCTTTAGTTCGTTTTGCATTGTTGTAAGGGAATACCTGAGACTGGGTAATTCATAAAGAGAAGAGGGATATTTGGCTTGCAGTTCTGCAGGCTGTGCATGAAATGTAGTACTGGCATCTGCTTCTGGTGAGGCCTCAGGCAGCTTACAATCATGGTGGAAGGAGAAGCGGAGCCAGCATGTCGCAGGACAAGAGAGGGAGCAAGAAAGAGGAAGGAGGTGCCAGCCTCCTTTAAACAACCAGATCTCACGTGAACTCATAGAGTGAGAGCTCACTCATCATTGCAAGGACAGCACCAAGCTATTCGTATGGGATTCACCTCCATGATCCAGACACCTCCCACTAGTCACACTTCCAACATTGGAGGTCACATTTCAACATGAGATTTGGTGGGGACAAAAAAATGCAAACCTGTGTCAACATCCCTTTTTCATAGAACTTATAAAACTATATTGCCACAGTCTTTTGACTTTTTTTCATTATTAGAACTGTGAATGCCCAAAAGGTACTTGATTGGCATTCAAAATTATATTGAGTGATATCCTTTGAGTGGGTTAACTGGTAAACCATTTTGTGTACTATTTTGACATAAAAGGAAGTCCTTTACTCTTAAGCTTGCAGATGTTTTAACTCACATTTGGTCTAATATAATAATAGTCTATTTTATCTCTTGCTTTAAAATTTTTGATTTTGTGTGGGCTCACCTGTCACTTTCTGAGAACACTAATGATTTATTCTCATGTTTCGTAGTCTGGATCCCACAGCACTCAGTTTATTCAAGCTTCCATATTTATAGGGTATTCAAATTACCCTAATAGCAGTAATGAAAAAAGCAGGTACCAGTTATTGATCTTTGTTTTAATTTTAGAAAGTAAGTGAAGCAAAGAGAGCTCAGCAAGAATATTATGAAAGGGAACTTAAAAACCTGCAAAATAGATTGGAAGAGGAGGTGACTCAATTAAACGAGGCCCATTCTAAGACTTTGGAAGAATTAGCTTGGAAGCACCATATGGCAATTGAAGCTGTCCACAGTAATGCAATTAGGGATAAGAAAAAACTGCAAATGGTGAGTAAAAATTTAATTTATCATTGCATTGTAAATTGATGAGATTTCTGTAATAGTCCAGTGTGACCTATATTGCAGAGCAATGATTTGCTTCTTTTTTTTTGAGACAGAGTCTTGCTCTGTCTCTCAGGCTGGAGTGCAGTGCAGTGGCGCAGTCTTGGCTCATTGCAACCTCCGCCTCCCAGGTTCAAACAACTCTCCTGCCTCAGCCTCCTGAGTAACTGGGACTACAGGTGCATGCCAGTACACCTGGCTAATTTTTGTATTTTTAGTACAAACAGGGTTTCACCATGTTGGCCAGGCTGGTCTCGAACTCCTGACCTCAAGTAATCCTCCTGCCTCAGCCTCACAAAGTGCTGGAATTACAAGCGTGAGCTACTGCACTCGGCTGATTTCCTTCATTTTGATGACTGCTGTCTTGTAATCATTCTTGAAGTCATGGTTCAAAGAGTAGCATACCTGATAGTTCTTGATATGGGATATAGCTTATTGAATTGATATGAGACATTGCTACTTCATATAAGCCATAATAGAAACACTGTTTTTGTTCTTGAACTGTCTCTTCATGAGACAATCTAATAGGTGTGCTCTTCAGGAAAGCTCAACTAGTTGAAAGTACGTATTCTCTCGTAGTTAGTTTTCTTCCTTGAGAAAATGATTTATGTTTTATTTTGTTTGTTTCTTCCTCAATTAAGTATTCAGCTTGCTAATAGTAATATATGACAGACAGAATTGCAGAGTAGAAAAAGCAAAGTATCTGACAGACTTTGGCCTTACACTGAGCTCTTTGCTTATTAGCTGTATTACTTTGGGCCCCAAAAGCTATGCCTCAGGCTCCTCATCTGACAGAAGATATGATCCATCTTAAAATGTTCCTTTGAGGATTAAGTCAGATAAAGTGTTGAGTACCGAGCCATGTTCTAGCACATGATGATAAAAGTTATTAGTACTTCTTACTCTATACAGTACTGTTTTGCATCTTTTAAAAAATTTAACTCTTATGACACATTATTGGTTTGATTTCTGTACTCATTTTACTGAAGAGGGGATGTGCTCAAGCACATGCAACCGGCAAGACTCCAGCCTCGAACTCAGGTTCCAGATCTGTCAAACCCCAGGCATCTAAATACCATCATGTAGGCATTTAGTAATGATGGTTGTTATATATTTCACGAATGGTACTTTACAGTTTACAAAGAGCTTTCTCATATATACCTTAATACTTATGACTTGGAGATTAAAGTTATTTTTATTATATAGATGGTAAAATAGGTTACATAAACCTTGATGATTTCCTCAGAGCCACAACGCTATTAAGAAGAGATAGGATATGAATTGATATCTGCCTCAGTGTACTTTCCTTTTGTGACATGACTAGCTGGGAAAAATATTTAAGATCTAAACTTAATTTAAAATTCAAATAAAACTTCCTGTTAGAATGTTATTTCTTTCTAAACTTATTACTATATGTTTATGTAGCCAGAGACAAAAATTAATGACACATTATTTCTCAAGACTCTAACTGTAGTATTCTGTGTGCCAGGTCACTATTCCGGAACCAGTTTGCACAGCATTAGTTATATGAGGCATGTACATGCTTAGCAATTCTGGTTGCCTGTATCACATGTTCAGAGTTTTACAGAAAAGTGTTCTGTGGTAACTGCTTCTTCTGTACTCTCTTTCCTAGGTATCTTTTGGTATTATTTTTCATTTCTACATTCATTTTCACCTTAACCACTTTCTTTCTTATTGGAATAAATTGCATATGTCCTGCCTTTAGCCTTCATTCCTCTCTATTAAGTTATAAGTGCTAGAATCAAGGCATCTTTCACCAATGTCATTTTTACCTCATTACTTTACTCCTCATTATCCCTTCACCTGATTAAATTTTAATTTTCTAGCACCTGCCTTAAACTACTTAAATTTCTTAAAGTCTTTCTTTAAAATATGGTTGCCATAAGACAGATGACATGAAATTTATGACATGTGAACATATTCACCACCCTATTGCAGCATTATTTCTACCCTTCTTTTTTTTTTATCAGAGTAACTTGTGTATCACTTGCTCTTTCTTCCTCTCTTGCCTGTCTACCTCATGTCTGAACCTAAGCTGAAACCAGCCTCCTTCCAGAAGTCTTCCTCCAGTATCAGATTCTCTCTTAAGGAACATTTAGGTGAAGATGACTTCTCTTTTCTTATTATTCAGTTATCAAAAAGGGTTGTATTGCCCATAACTGTAGTTGACCCACCACAACTGAGAGTGAATGTACAGAGAACCCATGCAGAAAACTGTTAACATAGTAGACTTGAGGCTACCATCCTTAAAAAGGCAAGTTGGCCCTTGGCTGGCATCTGGGAAGTTGGATTTCTGGAGGGATCCCCCCATTCCCTAATAAGAATGACTCACTGGCCTAAGCTGTGGCCTAACCACGCAAACAGTGTGGTTTATGCTGAACACCTGCTTTCCTTCTGGGAATCTGGAATTTTGACATGTGACAGGAAGATGGTACCTGTATGATTAGTCGCCGATAAAAAACCTGGGTACTAAGTCTCTCATGAGCTTTCCTAGTAGACAACATTTCATACAAGTTGTCACAGGTTGCTGGAAGTATTCAGCCTATCTTGTATAAGGACAACATTTGACACAAGTTGTCACAGGTGTCTGGAGGTATTAAGCGTGTCCTGTGTGAGAGGGCTCTTGGAAACTTTGTACCTGTTTCTGGCAGACTTCACCCCATGTGCCTTCTTCCTTTGTGGTGTGTGCTTTGAGTCCTGTACTGTAATCAGAGCCGTGAGTGTGACTATACCTGTGAATGCAAATCATCAAACTCGGATTTGTTTTGGGGTCCTCTGACACTGAACCTTACTTATTCTTCTTCTCATTTTACACTGTAGAAATATTGAACTGCATATAGCATACTCTGCTCTTTTGTGCCTTCATGGTGGTTAGCACATGCTTTTTCCCATGCCCAGAATGCGACGTTCCCCTCCTGCTCCATCGCCTTTTCTTCCTTCAAACCATGCTTAAGGATTGCTTTCTCTCTAAAGGTTTCCCTGCCAACCTAGACATTATTATTTTTATTAAATTATTCCATATACTCCCATACTCCCTATGCATGTCTAATTTAGTTAATGTTATTTAATTGCTTGATACCATGAACTTATTAAGGGCAGGCTCCATATCTTATTGCCTTTGTTACCCAAGTGTTAAGTAGCGTGCCTGGCAAATAGTAAGTGGTCTTCAGTAATTATCAGTTTTACCCGTTTTGCTCTTTCATTTGCCTTCATTTTGTACTTGCTCATTCTCTACTATGTTCCAACGCTAGACCACTGATTTGTAGAAGTGTTACTAGATTTCATTTTTTATGTGAACATAAAAGAATTTGAGGGAAAAAATTTTTTGAATTCAAAACCTAATTAGAATTTTGTATCTCACATTTTCTGTTTTTTGACTTCAGCTTGATCTAGTCCAGTCACATGCTCTCACCATTTAAAAACTTATAACTACATTGTAAATGAGTCAGAATGATAGAATCTAAGCCACTATGGGTGTCACTGTTAACTCAGATATTGTTAATTAAGGGTAAGGCCAATTTGAAGAGCAAAGTTTCAAAATACAAAACAGAATAGTCTTGTTCTTGGAGTCTTTGAAGTATATAATACTTGCAATTTTGTAATTTTTTAAAAATTTCTTTTTCTAAGGAATTGGAAGAACAACATAACAAAGAGAAACTAAACCTAGAAGAGGATAAAAATCAGCTCCAACAAGAGCTAGAAAACCTAAAGGAAGTACTGGAAGACAAGCTGAATACAGCCAATCAAGAGGCAAGAATTCTTTAGACCTGTTGCCTATGTTATAGATATTAATAATAATAACTTATTCTGGTGGCGTTGTATAGGTAGGTGAGTCTCATGAAGGTAAAATATCTAGAATAAAAATAATTTTAAAACTTTAATTGATGTTGAATTTTTCATGACACTCTGGTTATGTTCCACCAGGTAAAATTTACTGTCAAAAACATTAAGGTGCTGTTGTGGGGAGAAGCAAAACAAAATATCACCACATAGGAAAAGAACAAAAGAGAGTTCTCTGCCCTTTTGCCAAAAAAGGGCTTATTATTCTTTATACTGCCTCTTGTTCTACAATTTCAACAGAAACTGAGGATGGTAGCTAGAATCAATAGGTTTAATCTGAATTACAGTCTGTGATATTGCTCTTTTAAGACTAGATATAAATGAAAGAGGAGAAAAGAGGGAAGTTACAGCTCTTCTTCAACCTCATATCAGCAAAGTTCCAGGTGGGTTAAGGATTGGACTATAATATGAAAATCATAGATATGAATATAAATAAAATATGAAAACAAAAATAACAAACCTGAGGACAAAGAAAGCTTTTTGATCATGATAACAAAGTTATGAATCGAAACATAGAATATTTGTACAGTTAAAGCTAAAACTTCTTTATATCAAAATACACCATAAGCAAAATTTAGAAAGAGGAAAAACTGGGAGAGATGAAGTAGGAGATTGACAGATTGACCAACAAAGAATTCATGTCCTTAACACTTTAAGAGTATTTACAAAACAGTAAGAAAACTACAGACACACAGATTATCTTTTTACAAGCTAAAGATGAACATGAAAAAAAAATTGTTTCGTATAATTTAAGAACTGGAAATGAAATCAATGAGATGCCATTTCATTACCATAAAATTAACAATGATAAAAAAAATTGAGACCATGCAGTGTTAATAAGGGTAAAGAAATAAGCACTCAGAAACTGCTGATGGGGATACAAAATTGTATAATTTTCCTGGAAAGGGATTTATTGGCACATATGAAAGCCTTAAAGAAAGGCTTTAATGCAACAATTTCATTTTTGTGTATTTAACCTACGCAAATAATTACGGATTGCTGACAAAATTTCAGCACTGTTTGTAGTAGAAGAAGTATAGAAAAACTTAAATTTTCTCAGAAGTCTGTCTGCCTAGAATAAAGGGTGTCTTTTCCTAGTTCACACAAGTTTTGTCTGCTTCTCTTTCCATGTTCTGGGACTGCTTCCATGCTGAGGGGTATTGCCTTTTTCCTGCTTAGAGGCACACATGGCCTAGCAACTGCCTTGGTACAATCCAAGGTCAAGAAAATGAAGGCATTTAGGGTCCTTCTAGGAGTTAGATACCTTCATTCCAAGATGTTAGAGATTTTATTCTTAATTGCTAATAAGTATATATGAATTTTTTTCTGTAATTGACTCATTCATTCATTTATTTAATAAATATTGAGTGGCTATTAGGTACCAAAGCACTGTTACACACTGTGGTTTCAGTGATAAGTCAGTCAGACATGGTGCCCACTACTATGGAGAGACAGACACAAAAACAAGTAAATACAAGGTTGATGCATATTACAAAGGGTGGTAAGTAATTAACAAGGGCTTGTCAAAATAATAAATTTAGGAAAGCTTATGCAAAGGCCCTGAGGCATGAGAAATCTCTAGGAATTGTAAGAATACCAGTTGTATTAGTCTGTTTCATGCTGCTGATAAAGACATACCTGAGGCTGGGCAATTTACAAAAGAAAGAGGTTTAATTGGACTCACAGTTTCACATGGCTAGGGAGTCCTCAGTCATGGCAGAAGACAAGGAGGAGCAAGTCACATCTTACATGGATGGCAACAGGCAAAAAGAGAGCTTGTGCAGGGAAACTCCCATTTTTAAAAAACCATCAGATCTCATGAGACTCATTCACTATCACAAGAACAGTGCGGGAAAGACACAACTCATAACTCAGTCACCTTCCACTGGGTTCCTCCCTTAACATATGGGAATTGTGGGAGTTACAATTCAAGATGAGATTTGGGTGGGGACACGGCCAAGCCATATCACCAGAAAAAATGGAGTGTGATAGCAACTATAATAATTAATAGTTAATGCTTACTGAGTCCCAGACTTTGTTTTATATAGCCTCTTCTTTATACTGTTCTCTCCTTTAATCCTCACAGCAACCCTGTGCAGTAGATACCAGTTCCTAAGGCACAGAAAAGTTAAATAACTTGCCCACGTCAGCACATAATAAGTAGATAAAGTCAGAATTCCATTTCAGGTAGTATGCTTTCAGAACTCAATTCTTAACCCTAGTGCTACTCTTTCTCTCAATGAGTATATAAAGACCAAGAAGAAGGGATGCCGTGCTGAGGCTGGAGATATCAGCAGGGGCTATGCATAAGCCCCATGAAAGATTTCAAAAGTTATCCTAAGGGCAGTGGAAAACAGTTGAAAGATGCTAAGTGCAAATATGTGGATGCTTGCACAGTGGATGGGGCTTATGCTCATGTCCGTATTTGTAATTTATAAAAAACTCACTCTGGTATTGCAAGGAGAGTGGATTAGAGAAGAACAAATACAGATAGATGGATATATCAGGAGGAGGTTTCTACTTACTGTATTCCCTCAGTTTGTACATTAATAAGGAGAATCTGAGTATTGATTTCTATTGCAAATGACAGAAATCCTAGCTCAAACTAGCCTAAAGAAAAAGAAAATTTAATTGACTCATATGACTGTAAAGTCCAAGGATAATGTTAGCATCAGGCAAGACTAGATTCAGAACTGAAATTGTGACAATAGAACTCAGCTTTTCTTTTTCTCTTAAATTGGGTTTGTTCTCTGGGTTGACTTCATGCTTCAATCATATATTCCCTGAGGTGTGTGTGCAGCTGGCAAAAAACCTTTTCTAGGAGCTCCTTTTAGAGTCCTGAGATCACTGTGACTAGATAAGCTTAAACCATGTGCCTGCCCCAAACCAATCCCCATACCAACAAAATGAGATGACCGTACTGGTTTACACTTCAATGAAGCGCTTCATTCTGGAGTTTAAGTTGAATGCTTACTAAGATGACATGAACATAAAGAATGTGAGTAGATGCCCCAAATGGCATAAGGAGATTTTGTTATTGGGAGACAATAGGTGTTTTCTCCATGTATCCATTTTTATTGTATTTAAGAAAACAAACTGATCAGTTATGTTCAACACTTACTTTGCTTTTTACATTTTGTTACATTTAACTTTGCAGAAGTTTGAAGTTTTTGCTTATTTAAATATTCTATCTCTAATTAGATTTGTAATGGCCTTAATAGGCCTTTTCTTTGAATTCTTTACATTGTTACTAGAATACTATTCTTTTTGTTTGTTTGTTTGTTTTCTTGAGGCGGAGTCTCCCTCTGTTGCCAGGCTGGAGTGCAGTGGCGCAATCTCGCTCACTGCAACCTCTGCCTCCTGGGTTCAAGCAATTCTCCTGCCTCAACCTCTCAGGTAGCTGGGATTACAGTGGCGCGCCACCACGCCTGGCTACTTTTTGTATTTTTAGTAGAGATGGGGTTTCACCATGTTGGCCAGGCTGGTCTTGAACTCCTGACCCCAGATGATCCACCTGCCTCGGCCTCCCAAAGTGCTGGGATTACAGGCATGAGCCACTGCTCCCAGCCCTAGAATAGCATTCTTTATAATTTAGTTTATGGAAGAATTTTACCAAACTTTCAAAAAACAGGTGATTCTTTTCCTGTGAAAATACTTCAGAGCACGGAAAAGATATGTAGCTCCCCTAATTATCTTATGAGATTAGCATTCCTTTAGAGACACCAACAAGATAAAATACTACACCCCCAGTATTGCAGAGCATATACCTGCATAGAGAGGGGACCAGAAGGTTGTGCACCCGGGGAGGGAATAGTGGGTCAGAGAAGGATTGAAGGAGAATTTTTTTTTTTTTGTAATGTCCGTATTTCCAAGGAGAAATAGGTATTTATTTTAAATTATCAATTTTAATTTTTGTAGAAATTTCATAGGCTAGGCCATTTTGTAAGAATGAGGTTTTTACTTTATAGCATTGTCCTAAATAATTTGAAATATTTCATGTATGTATTTTAGTATTCGTAACTTTACAGTAGGGTTATGCTTAATCAACAATTGTCTGTTAGCTTCCTAATTTCAAGAGTGTCTGTTAGCTCCTAATTTCAACTCTTAAAGATTTCATGAGACAAATTTTGTACAGAAACACAGGAATCACAACTTACTCTAGTTTATAATACGTTTACCAGCTTATCAATATTGACCTAAATTTATCCCCTTTGCAAATAGGAGATAGAGACTCAAATGAAATATACGATTAAATTTTAAAGAATGGTTTTTAAGATATTTTTATCTAAAATTTTGTTTTACTCTTTTATATAATCTTTATCTTGCTTCAGCTTCTTATAGGTATTTTATTATATGGTAGAACTAGGAATTCTCTTTGTTAGACAAAGGTGTGTCTATTCCTCTACATGGTTGTCTTGAAAAAAGAAAATCTTAAATATGAAAGTCTTTTCAAAACACAACAGAAGAAAACTGTCATGGTTATTTGAGTGCTTTTTCCAAATTAATCAGGAAATTGTCCATTCAGTAAAATTACAACCAAATAAAATAGGAAGAAATTGTAAGACTATTTTGCTGTTCTATTACAATGAAGTATATTAAAAGTACCCTATTTACTTACAGATTGGCCGCCTCCAAGATCTGGTAAGGAAAAGTGAACAAGGTCTTGGCTCTGCAGAAGGACTTATTGCTAGTCTTCAGGACTCCCAGGAAAGGCTTCAGAATGAGCTTGATTTGACTAAAGACAGCCTAAAGGAGACCAAGGATGCTCTATTAAATGTGGAGGTAATTTCATAATTCTACTATAATCTAAACAGCAGCAAAATAGAAATATGATTTAGCCATTTGACCTACAGCTATTTAAACAGCACATTGTATATAATTAGTATATTAGTTTTTAGAACTACCATAACAAAGTACTACAAACTGGGGAATTTAAAACAACAGAAATTTATTCTCTCATAGCTCTGGAGGTTAGAAGTCCAAAATCAAGGTGTTGGCATGGCTATGTTCCTTCCTAAACTCTAAGGGAAGATCCATCCTTGTATTTTCCAGCTTCTGGTAGCACCAGGCATTCCTTGGCATTCGGCAGCATAATTTCCGTCTCTGCCTATCTTCACATCTTAAAAGGATACCAGTCATATTGGAACAAGGGCTCACTCTACTCCAGTTTGACATCATCTAAACTTAATACATCTGTACTGACCCTATTTCCAAATAAAGTCACATTCTGAGGTACTGGGAGGGTAGGACTTCAGTATATCTTTTAGGGGACACAGTTCAACCCGTAACAATTGGAATGTGCAGTTCTTTTACTGGTAAGAGTTAGAACTCTCATATACAGCAAGTAAGTGTTTCTCTGTGTCTGCAGATTTCAGAAAGACTCTGTCTTTTTAATTCCACTCTCATGAAGCACAGCAAAGATTTGGATTTTCTTAGATAGTAGACAAAAATAATCCATAAAACTGCGTGTGTCGTACCCAGGGAGTTTTTAATCTTTTCCTTCAGAGAGATGGGTTTAGACTATAGGCGCTGAAGTCGGGTTCGTTGTATGTAAATTCTGAATCCTCCACATAGTGTGTAACTTTGGACAAAGCCTCACCTTCCACATCTGCACAATGAAGGAGGGGTGGGGGGTAATAACACTCTTCACAGCACTATTGTAATAATTAAATGAGATAAACCATTTACAGCACAGTGCTTAGCAAAATAGTAAACACTCAGTAAATATTGCCTTTTACTAATATTATTTCAAATTTTCTTTAGTTTAGAATTGGTGACATTTCAAAAGCATATAAACAAGGGCACTTTAGTGAAAATAATTATATTTGTATTTTATCTATGATATAATTATATTCTGTGCGCATTGAATATTTATTATCTTCCATTTTGAATTATGTGACAATAAATTACTTCATTTTCCTCAAATCTTCATTTCCTTATGTTTACCTTTCTCCAGTGGCTGTGTGATATGACAGTTTTAATATATAACAAGGAATAATTGGAATTTAAAGGTAGTATAATATACAACTTGATATATTTAATTTCTGTGATGCCAAATATATTGACTATAATCTCGATGGTAGCATTCTGTGGTGTGAAACTGAACTGGATGACCAAACTATATTAAGACGTGTTTTTTCCATTGTCAAAAAATAAAAGGAAAATGGTATTTTAAGGTAATACAAATATATTTAAAAGTAAACAGTCAAAATATTTCTAATGAATGCTAGTTGAATATAGATTGTGTTTATATGGTATAATGGAGGTTCTCTCTTGCCTTGGTGCGCACCCAGTTCCTGACTTTAAGGTATTTTATCCTGGTTGCCTTTCCCCCTGCTTGTCCTGGCACTGAGTTTTGAGCTTAGTGATTCACTTTCATTTCTTTCAGATCTTTTTTCATGTTTACATTGTACTTCTGTCCAGTAGTAGAAAATAATAAACATTTTAAGCAAAACTCTATCAGTTGTTCATTTTCTCTTCTGCTGGGCAGAATTTTAACTGAGAAAATATAGATGCTGCATCCTGGTTTACCACGACTCTGTGTAAGCTCCTTAAGACAAAGTGTTTTGTTTTTTTTTTTACCCTCTTTTCCTCTACCCCAATAATGTCTAACGATGTACTTTGCATTGAGGAAAAGAAATACTTTTTAAGCAATCTACTCCATTTAATGTTGCCTTTGGTGGAAAATACAGAAGTTAGTAGAGGCAGAACACTTAGTGAAAAGAACAGTTGGCTAAGATGGCTGCCTTCAATTTTCAAAACTTACTGCTTAGTATCCAGGCCAACAATGTAGAATGGCAATTTCAACATTGGCTTGCTTTTTTCTCATTAATCTGGGTATACCCTTCAAAAACTGCCACACCACATGTCATCAGCAAATGGGTGATCTCGAAGGGTCATTGTGATAACAGGAAGATAGACCATCATCTGCTCCTCTTCTGCCTTGTGCCCCGAGAGCAGCTGCTCTGCTGGCAGGGGCTGATGGCTGCCACTGTTGTCCAAACAGGTCACCTCTATCCCCAGGCTCCACAGAGCCACTTGATTCATGCTAATCTACGGGAATCTTGTATATATTGCCACATATTACCATAACACCAAACACATGGACAATTAGTTTGAAGTTACATAATAAAAACAGTAGCCTAAATTCTGCATACTTATTTTTATCGTGTCAGTTAGATACAGCTATATACTTAAGTTCTGAGCAAGTAACATACTTTCGAATATGAGTATGAGTGAATTTGAATAACATATCTGTCTGTGTAATGGGTGTACAGGTGAAGGTAACTGGATGATCAATCTACCGTTAGATACTTAATACATGTAAAGTATAATTAAGATGATTAATGCTGACTTTAAACTATTTAAATAATTTGTAATATAAGCCTTAATAAAATACAGTTTAGACAAGAACATTTAAAATACAAAATTTGTTTTACATATTTTATTTTCAGAAAATCTTGAGTCATTTTCACAGATAGCATTATCAATTATTGGGCTGTATTTAAAATTAAAAGTTTTAATACAAGCTCTTACGTAAATTAACCAGCAGTGTTTGTTTTTGAAGTTTAGTCTTCATTGAAAAGTTTTTATTCTTCAGGGTGAGCTAGAACAAGAAAGGCAACAGCATGAAGAAACAATTGCTGCCATGAAAGAAGACGAGAAGCTCAAAGTGGACAAAATGGCCCATGACTTAAAAATCAAGTGGACTGAAAATCTTAGGTACATTTTCTGTTCTGTAATCTTCGCAATAAAGACATACAAGAAAGTTCTTCTCTTGTATAACTCATATTATCCTATTGTTATAGACATAGTAGCAGTATTTTAAATTGAAATTTCCTGTGATTAGAGACAGAGAAATTGGATTTTTTTCTGTTCGAATTCAGATTTACTTTTTGCATTTCCTTGAATATAAAATAGGCAGAAAACTAACCTGAAATCAGAAGACTTCTTTGTTCTGGTACCTATTCTGCTGTTAATAAATTGATAAATCAGTGATACTGGGGTAAGTTACCAGTTTACTTTACAGCCCTTAAGTAAATAATCTGCTTTTACTCAGCGTCATAGACTTTTGAAGAGGATTAATTAAGCACTTAAAAAACCCGTGGACTCTATTACAGTCAGTGAGAGGAACAATTCTCTTTACAAAGTAAATGTGTTTGTTTTATTTTAGGCAAGAGTGTTCTAAACTTCGTGAAGAGTTAAGGCTTCAACATGAAGAGGATAAGAAGTCAGCAATGTCTCAACTTTTGCAGTTGAAAGAGCGAGAGAAAAACGCAGCAAGAGATTCATGGCAGAAGAAAGTAGAAGATCTCTTAAACCAGGTAATTAATAATCTGTATTAATTAGAAAGTTCATTTCCCTTGACATTCTCTAGCTAGGGAAATATTGTAAAACTCTGTTAATTCACTGTATTTTGTTATTTTTCATGGGGCAAACTTAAAATTTTTAAAAATACATAAAGCCAGGAAGATGTATTTATAAACTTATACATTGTGCTAATCATTGTTATATGTGCAGTATGAATACTGAGAAGAATGTATTATGATTTTTTAGTTTAATATTTGACCTGAATATATTTAAGATTTTAAATGGGAAAGTTACCTATTTTTTGAAAGTATACCATCTTTTTTCATGTCATTAGATACTGTTTGGGCAACAGAGGGTAGAATTTATTATATGTATCGTGATTACCTAAAATCACTTATCAAAAATGAACAGCTTACTTTTCTCAATCCTGCTATCCTTCAAAATAGTTTAAGCCCCTTGGAGTATAACATAAACAAAAGGTGGTAATATTCCTAAATCTGTGTTCTTATGTTATGCTCGCTTATTTCCATAACATTTGTAACTGTAATTAAAAGAATGTACACATTTTCACTCATTTACACAACTTTTAAATTTATTAATTCTTAGCATTCTTCCACAGAGTGAGTCATTAAATAGGATTAACTGCGTGAATCACCAGTTGATAAGCAAGTGTAGAACTTAGACAGGAAGCAGCTCAATAATGTAGTGCCAGAAACCTACCATTATCTTTCTATTTGTGAGCATGATGAATTTCAAAATAAACAGGATAGACTTTTTGTAAGATCATTTGTTACATAGCTACATACATGCAGTGTCTTTCAAGAATACTAGGGGCCTGCCAATTTGTGTTTGGTATCTCATAATAATTTATAATGTTACTCTGAAAAGAGAGAATATATGTGCATGTTTACATTTGTGTATATATGAGCTTTTGTCAGTCACTTGAAACTCAGACAAAAATAAGAACATGGAAACAGCTTTTACTAGAAATTGGATACCATATTAGCATTGCTTATGATAGACTTACTTTACATTCCTTTTAGGGACCCAGAAGGACAGATTTTGCCGAGTAGAGTGGTACTGATCCCCTATCATTAGACGAGTAGTAAGATTCTGCATCTAGAAAGATTAAATTAGTTTGATGATTTAATAAATATATATTTTTTCAACCAGAAAGTATTAAACATAGACAGTTTTTGGCTGGGTTTGTACTGTGAAGTGGCCCACCACTTCTCCTACCTATTTTCTATCAAATTGTTTTATTTGTTACTCCTTTAATCTCTTGTATTAATTTGTCAGATGTCATCCATACAGCTCTGAATTTTGTTTTCTTCTCTTTTTCCTTTGGGTGTCTATTCTGCAGTGTTCTTTCCTGAGAGGGCCTAATGCTGTGCATCTTGTGGTTCTGTATATCATAAAATAATGTATTACATATTAGCTCCAGTTTTTGCCAGCTTTACAGAATTTCTAAATCGATTTTCAAAGCAGATTAACCATAAATATCAAGATAACCAGGAATTAATGGGTTCCAAAGGTAAAACTATTCTGTGATGCTCCATGCCATCAGACCATTTCCAAGATTATAATATCTTCCTTTCTCCCGACTTCTAAATTGTTTAGGCACACGCATTGCCATGGAGAAACTGGCAAGTAGCTGTTGTACTCCAGGATTGTCTGTGCCTGAAGAAAATTAAGAAAACAGGTGCACAAAAAGATGCCCCATTAAAGTAAAAATGGGTATGATGCTTTCAAGGTTTCATTCTTTCTAGGCATATTAGATGACAAAAAATTATAGTAGGACCAGTGGTTCTTTTTAAATGGAATGTCATTATGGACAAAACCTTCCTTCTTGGCTCTTTGGATCTTGTTCTCTGGACTCCTTTGGATGGATTTCTAGAGCCTGTGCTCTAAAGCCTGCTCTACCACCTTCTGCTTGCCTTCCCCTGCTGCTAAGCCCTGTTCCCCATAACCTCCAACCCCAGCCCTACCCCTAGGACCCCTTCCCTGCATTCACTCCTGCTGGTCTCATTCATTTCCTTTAGCCTTTGCAAGGCCAGCAGCCTTCAGCACGTTAAGGGAAACAGACCTGGCTTGGCATTTGTGATATTAAAGGAGTAAGACTGAGGAATGGAATTGGTGTGCCTAGGGCTTAGGCAGAGGCATGTACTATGAAAAAGCATCAGAGGATGTGTTTTCACATATTTTAACTATTTCTGAGTGAAAACATGAGATTTTTATGCCTTAACACACCTGAATTTCATCCTATTTAGAGGAAAGAAATGAAATGTCTTTCCTATGAATCTCTTGAGAGTTAAATTAGATTTAAGCCAGCCATCGTGGCCTGCCTATCTAAAAATGAAAATGAGCATTAAAAGCATAAAATTTTCATTTTACTTGAATCAGATGTTTTTCACTTCATGGAATTTTCCAAAAGCTATTATTCTCATTCTGTGCTACGATTCAGTCAATTTTGTATCTTTTAGTTTCCTTGTAATATTTCATTGTGTTCTCTCTTTCTGTCCAATGATTACACTTTAGTCCAAGGCTAATTATGCTTCTTGGGTTGATCAGTGTATACGTTTGAATTCTTTAAAGCAAAAGAACTACATTCTTATGCTTCAACTCTATCCAAGGAAAAGTGATTATATAGAGTTTTCTGTGATCATATTTTCTATTTGTGATCTTAAAATGCCATCACATGTTCCTTTCTTTCATCTTTTTTAAGGCAGATTTTATTTTGGGTCCAATATAATGATTTACTTATTCAGGCTTAAAGCATTGGACTGAGAAATTAAGGGAGATACACAGACCATTCAGACACAGAACTGTGGAATTTTACAGTTTGAGTCTGACTCTCCATTTTGTAGATGTGAACTTTGAGACAAAGTCATTTAGCTGATTATAGCCATGTATCTGACACAATGTTTACACTTCACAAATTTACAATCTAATAGGAAGATTTATATATAGGTACTTAAAATAAAAGTCACTGTGCAGTAGGTGACTTTAAAAATGATCCAAGCAGTTTATACTGAGTAATGATGTGTTGGAACTGGCTCCTACCAGCTCGTCATAGCTAATTGTGCCCCTCTTCCCAGGACTACATTCGGGGACATCATGTTGATGACTTGCAGTCACCCGTGGTGGTTGCATTTACGTCACAGCATTTACAGCATTTGTAGCAAATACTACAAATCAGGTCATTGCTTTTCGGAGAGCTGTTAAACATTTACCAAAATACCACTGCTCAGGAGTATACAGTCAAAAAACAGTGTAATATAGCCAGTGTGCTTGGGGAAGGTTTCATTGAGGAGGCCAGCTTTAGTGGGACTCATGAATAGGGCAAAGGATGAACACAGAGGAGTGACAAAAGTACAAAGGTTTTTATTCACTTAATAAACATTTTATTAAACATGTGCATATTTCCCAGGCACTATGAGGAATACAGTAATAAGAAAAACAGAGTTGGGGGCAGTTTGGATAGAGGTTATTGTGGAAAACCTTGACTTCCAAGCTCAGGAGTTTAAAAGATTACTTGGTAAACTGTGAGATTCTGTCAAAGGTTTGTGGAAAAGAGAATAACATGCTGAAAATTTTATTTTAGGAAGCTTAATATGACTTTTATATTGAAATAAGAATGAAATAGAGATATTTCAATTTAAATATCTAAATTAAAGTGTTTGGAACTGAACTCTTGAATGGACACCATGTACCACCAGCATCCCTCAACCTCAGCCAAACTGGTCTTCCTAGAACTAGCATCCGTTCACTGTTCACTGCTCAGCTGTCTTGGACTCCTGTGTTGTACACCAGACAACCTGTTCATCAGCAATCCCCACTGCTCTACCTTCAAAATAAATCTAGGACCTGCCTGTTTCTCCCTACTACTGCTACCACCATCTGATTCCAGGACACTTGTAGTTCTTTCCTGCACTGCAACTGTTACCTTGTTTCTACTCTTGCCCACCTACAGATTATTTTCTGACCAGCCAAAGTGATGCTCTTAAAATATTAAGTTGGATTATGTTACTATCCTGTTTCAAGATGTCCAGTGACTTCCTACTACAATTAGAATACAGTTCATACTCATGCCATATCCTCTAGTACGCTTGTGATCTGGTCTTTGGCTGCATTGCCAACATCATCTCCTATCACTCTCTCCCTTTGTTTTTTTACAGCCATACTGGACCCTTGCAGTTCTTGGAACACACACAACAAGCTGAACCTGTCTTGGGGACTTTGCACCTACCAGTCCCTCCACATGGAACCCACTTTCTAGAGATATGCACAGCTTTTTCTTTCGCTTTGTTCAGTTATCTACTCAAATCTTAACTCCACAAAAAGAGCTTTCTTGACTTACTTTCTCTAAAATAGCACCATCATCTTTCATTAGCCCCCTATTCTGCTTTGTATTCCTTCAGATCATTTACTTCTACACAGTATATATTGATTCTCTCACCCATTCACATATAAGTTCCATAAGACCTGGACCTTTGTGGTGTTCACTGTGGTATCCCCAGCACCTAAAACTGTGCCTGGCACATAGTAAGCACTTGGCAGTTGTTGAATGGAGTGAACAGAATGAGGCACAGAGACCAAAGAAGTTTTCAGATACATGAAATACAAATAATTCTGCCCAACTAGGACCTGGATTAAGTTTATCTCACAGCAGGTGCAAGAGAAACTGTAAAAGGATCAATCATCTGCTTTGGTAGAAGAGAAGAAAATGTTAAAGTTGACTTGGGTTTGAGCCAGACGAAAAGGAAATCATCATCTGAGACAAGGAAGTCAGGATGAGCTATTTATTTGGGGTGGGGTGTGGGTGGTTGGGGAGATGAGGTGTAAGTTTTCTCTTAGATGTATTGATTTTACAGTCATAGTGTATTTTAGAATTTTTCATGCTCAGTAGGAAAGAGCAATGACTCGACTAAGAAACAGCATTAAAATAAATGCTCTTGATCAAGAGCAATTGAAAAGCCAGATTCAGTAAGGTTTGTTGTAAACTGCTTTCTGA